ATGTTCTTGATTATCGATCTCGGAAGTTAGGGATAAGCCCGCATGACTGGATTTATAAGGGTCAGAGAGGAACACGGAGGGTAAACAACAGTTTCTCAGTATAATTCGTTTGTTTTACTTGAAGTCATTTCTTGTCTCGTACGAAATGCCCAAGGTTTTTCGACAGCATAGTGGACATAATGAGATTCAATCACTTTTATAAACGTTAACTACTTGAAACCCAGCAAATAACCTTTTCTGATTTCGATAAACATGATGTTTGACAGAAAAAAAGCCTTCTGCGCATGCTCTATGAACTTGGCGAAATACAATAAAGAAATTTAAATTCAATATTTAATATTATAATRATGATATATACTTATTTCAATAAAGTTAGTCACCAAAAACCTACAAAACAGTGACCGCTGAGAATCATGAGAAATGTTTTTTATCCAACAACAGCTTTCGACACAAACTGCAGCAGTTGAGGATGCTCAGAGGAGGTTAACTTGTAACTCGTAGAAGATCTCAAGTCCATCAACAGTTATCAAGCGGTTGAAACATGTAAAATGTATCTACCCATATTCCTTGTCGGTCTCAGTTTTGTAGCTTTTCAGGTGACTAATTTTATTGAAATAAGTGTATATGTACATGACAATGAAAAAAGACACAGGGACTCAGAAAAAAAATATCTTATTCATCGTTTCTATTTATTTTTTATAACAGTTGTCTTTTGAAGGTATTCGTGGAATTAATTGGCAGGGAGATATTGCTATCGATGATATCTCGATCTTCGCCTGTCCTACAGGTACATCATATTACACATGTGGACAGGATATGGGGAGGAGGAGGGTAAAAGTTCAAAAGTTGATATCTTTCACCGAGGCAAGTCCAGGCAGAGTGAGCGTGATATCATGCCACGTGTCAGTTAAAACCCCCTGGGGGGGGGGGGGTTGAGTTAATTGACCTAATCCCCATACCCCTCCACGGTMGAATTACTTCCGGTCAATTAACTATTGACACCGGATACTGCTAACAATTTTGTAAATACACAAGGATGAACAGAAAGTCCAGGAGGGACATAAAAATAGGGCTATATAAATAAATAAAGTTATTATTATTATTACCACAGCGTGAGCTTGAATGAACTTGACATGATAAATGTATTATCTGTAGGAAAACCTACAGATAATACATTTATCATGTCGAGTTCACACGATATCAGGGATTGGCTGAGGGCTCTCGACCAATCAGAATTGAGATACTTAGTAAAATGTATAATGATAGATTTTCGCTGAATAAGCGCGCACTTATCTGAGAACATCTTTATAAAATAACTGTTATGAATGTCGCGCTCTGATTGGTTTGGAGGGCGTGCTTTATGAGAGCACATTGCACGCGCGCGCACTTTCCGGTGCTTCATTCCTATCTATTATTGTTATTTGTATTTTATAAAAGAAATARAAAACTTGCTTGCTGTGCTGTGTGSWGTYATAAAGCACTTGGGGRTTGGCAGAACACTCGAGAAGTGTCBAGAAGCACTCCGCTACGCGTCGTGCTTCTCCTAACACTTCTCTCGTGTTCTGCCAACCCCCTCGTGCTTTATGACAGCACACAGCACGCGCGCGCGTTTTCTATTTCTTCATTAATTTCTCCGGCTGCGGTGTTGAATACTTCGAAGTTTCTTTTAACTCGTAGGATTATGATTTTTTTTTTAAATATAGCTAAAAAGCTTCATGAGACAAAAAATTATTCAGGGGTTTTAGAAACTTGAAATCCTGTCATCTTGTCATTTAAATTTTTGTTAAGATTAAAACATTTTTACAGGGACCCTACCTCCATTAGTTTGACCTTCAAGGGCTTTTCGATAATTTTTGGATTCTCCTTACAGAACTCAACTGCAATTTTGATGCTGATACATGCGGGTTTACCCAAAGACGAAATGATCAATTTGATTGGAGCAAAACGTCTGGAAAGACACCAACCCATAACAGTGGTCCAGATAGTGACCATACATCAGGACGTGGTAAGGGAAGCTTGGTTATGAACGAAATGATATATATAATACAATATTGAGTTAAAAATAAAGGAAATTAGAGGTTGTGTGGCAGTAAAGACGCGTCTCACCTCTGGGGTCTCTGATTCCATTGCTTTCATTTTTGTGTATTTGATTATTACATGTTGACTAGTATTTTTAGTTGTCTATCGATTAAAATGCTTTCACTCTCCTGGAGTGAACAATGAAATCAGAAAGAATATTTAACCGCTTCAGTGATTTTTTCCCATATTGATCCTCTCGATCCAGTCGCATAGATAGGCTCGAGCCAGTCGACGACAACAATTTTTTCAACTGACTATGTTTTAGGACTTCACATCACATGTGAGTAGAGTTTGCTAGATCTCTTTTCGGATCAAGGGAGAGATCCGAGGGAAGGTCTAACAAACTCTACTCACATGTGATCGAACCCGAGGCCCCCAGATGTGAGACGCGAGTGCTCTACTAATGAAAACGGTATTTTGGCAAACTTGACTTGCCTGTCCAAACAAGGTTTCAATGTTTGGTTAATATGGTTAAGATATWAAAATATATGCTTCACTCAACGTGATGAAACTTGAAGTGTATGCGTCACTCAACGTAACCAAAGGTTAAAATTATATCCAAATACATGAAGCACAACCAAACAAGGTTGGAACGTTCCTAAATACCACGTACTAGCTCACAGGAAAAATAAAATTGAAATAACACTTCTAGGTTCCTACATGTATATCGAGGCTTCATTTCCACGAAGGGAAGGAGATAGGGCTTTCCTAGACAGAGCAGTAACTCTCACTGGTAACGAATGTCTCAAGTTCTTCTATAACATGAATGGAGACGATATTGGTACTCTAAACGTGCTTGTTGGTAACACCAAGGTGTTTAGCATGTCTGGTAATCAAGGCAAACTATGGATCCCTGCTCTAGTGCGCCTTCCTAAAAGAGGATCACAGAGGGTAAACAATAGCCATCAGTTTCTCAGTGCATGCGGGCTTAGCCTCGAATACAGGAGTTGTTTCCTTTGTTATTCTAATGATGTTCTTGATTATCGATCTCGGAAGTTAGGGATAAGCCCGCATGACTGGATTTATAAGGGTCATCAATAATTTGTAGGTTTTACCTTTTCTTGTGTCGTACGAAATGGTACATCGACAGCATGGTGGTCGTTGTTTGAACACCATTTGGAGCCGATAATGAGATTCAAACATTTTTATCACCTATTATACATGAGATAAAACAATAAGCTGGGGCATTGAATAGCATTTATATGCAATAGTTACTCTGGCCAACAGCAACAGTGAAACTGATAGCCTCCTAAGAAAGTCAAGTGAGTTGTACTTTCCRGTAATGAGCTCCTTCATGAGTAAATCAAAATGTAAATGAAATCTATTTTTTCATAACAGCTGTCATTTGAAGGTATTCGTGGAGGATCATATAGGGGAGATATTGCTATCGATGATATCTCGACCTTCGCCTGTCCTACAGGTACATCTTATAAGGCCCCGTCCACACGTATCCCGAAATATATGTATCCGCAATTTTTTTTTTTTATTGGGGGGATACGGGAAATTTTTCTGTCCGTATCCGAAATTTTCTAAAACGGTCTCCAGAGTGGAAATTTTCGGATACGCTCCGAATACGAATAAGGATACGTACATCAGGGCGGATCAAGAAATTTCCGGATACGTGTGGACAGTGAAAACGATTCGAAAACCATTCGAATACGCTGCGTGTGGACGCGAACATTTTCGTACTAACGCAAGTGCTCGCTCATTTACAGCCGACTCGCTATAATTCATGCTTGTTTTCATGTTTTGAACAGGTTGACGAGCAAATCTCCTTCAACTCTTTGTGTGCATGTTCCAAAATACCTTAAAACAACCTCACAATAAAGTGCTTTAGGATAATTTTCTGATTTCTCCTTACAGAGTTCAACTGTACCTTTGATGCTGATACATGCGGGTTTACCCAAAGMCGAAATGATCRATTTGATTGGACCAGAAYATCTGGTCCCACACAAAGTCAAGGAACTGGTCCAAAAAGTGACCATACATCAGGAAATGGTAATATAATTGAGTTAAATATAAAGGAAATTAGAGGTTGTGTAGCAGTAAACGACGCTTATCATCTCTGGGGTCTAGGATTATATTCTAGGGCTTCACAWCACGTGTGAGTAGATTTTAGATATGCCCTCGGATCTCTCCATTTRTCCTAGAGGAGATCTTGAACCTTGAAATATATGCGTCACTCAACGTGACGAATTATGGTTAAGATCATACCCAAAGAAAAAAAGCACAACCAAAGATAGTTGGAAGATACCTGCAAGATATCTAAATACCACTAACTCACAGGAAAATAAATTTGAAATAATACTTCTAGGTTTCTACATGTATATCGAGGCTTCAGGTCACGCAGAGAGAGACAAGGCTTCCCTAAACACATTTGTGATTCTCACTGGTAACGAATGTCTCAATTTCTTCTATCACATGAATGGCAATGGTCTTGGTACTCTGAACGTGTACGTTGGTAACACCAAGGTGTTTAGCAAGTCTGGTAGTCAAGGCAATCGATGGATCCTTGCTAAAGTGCGCCTATCTCATAATCAAAGAGGATTACATAGGGTAAACAATAGTCATCAGTTTCTCAGCATTGACGACCCGGGTGGGGGGGGGGGGGGGGGGGGGGACTCCGGCAAAAAAGTACCAGTGATGCTCGGTAGCTTGGTAGGAATCTAGTTTTATGCACCTTTTTATGGTTTTTGACTCGATCTTTTATGTTTGAATTCTGAATAAAATTCTTTTGAACAAAACTACATTTGATCTGATGATTCAGGATCAATGACAGCGTACGGGCATTACATTGGTTTCAAGACGGATTCCTGCATGTCGTTGAATTTTGTCCTATGATAAACGGGTAATCGTATGGTTCCTCGTAAAATTGAGGATTAATTTCACTTGTGTTTCAAAGAGCAGCGCATGAGGAGATGGAGGGGGGGGGGGAGGGATAACAAAATAAAAAGTACAGCCGAGACCACTAAACGTGTCCACTAAACTTGATGGGCTAAAAGCATTCCCACGAAAGTCAAAAGATAAAAACATGCCCACCAGTGTGGTGACGTTTACAATGAATGCTAATTAGAAATCTTTGGTTAAATGTCACCAACGACCCCCAGAGAGCCACACCGCGATGAAATAACGTCCAATGTAAGAATACCCATCGGGTCTTGTATAATCGCACCATTGCAACCAGGGACACTGATAGCCTCCTAAGAAAGTCAAGTGAGTTGTACCCTCCGGGTAATGAGCTCCTTCATGAGTAAATCAAAATGTAAAGGAAATTTATTTTTTATAACAGCTGTCCTTTGAAGGGATCCGCGGATATTCATATCAGGGAGATATTGCTATCGATGATATCTCGATCTTCACCTGTCCTACAGGTACATTATATTTTACATTATATCTTACATTTTATTTTACATTTTATTATACATTATATTATATATTATATTATACATTTTATTTTACCTTTTATTTTACATTTTATTTTACATTTTATTATACATTATATTATACATTATATTATACATTTTATTTTACCTTTTATTTTAC